GGGCGGGGGACACCAGGCCAATGTGATTGGAATGAAGGTGGAATACGATTCGCCCCTATTTTCTGTTTGCTGGGGAGGAGAAGGGGTAGGGACGTGGGAGAGGGGCTGCAGCTTGCAGGGGGAGCTGTACATGGTCCCCGAACACATACCCACAGAGATATCACAGCACCGACAATAACTGGGCTTTTACGAAGAAAAATTTCAGTCGTCGTCGTGACAGCCACGTGTTGGCATAGCCTTGGCCTACATGTCGTCGAGGAAGAGGAACCCTCGCCTTGCGCCATCCCTCTGTTCAATCCGCCAGCCCGACTCGATCCGACCTCGAACTGTGCATATGGGTGTGTATGTGCGTCAGAGAGAAAGGGAAAAAAGAAAGGGAGGGAGGGAGAAAAGGTGCAAGAGAGAGAACATTGAGTATGTGTATGTGTTGGTTTTACTACGTATCGTGATGCAAAATAAAAGGGGTTTGTGGCGCATCAGGGTAACGGATAAGTACACGGGAACACATTGTCCCTGGCCCCGGCCGGGCCGCGGGCCGTAGTGCGGTGGTAACACATCTGTAAACGCGCCCCGTGAAGGCCCTTTGACGTCTTTTATGTATGTTTCATAGACACTTTTCCCACTTTCATACACCCGTATAACCAACCGTATGTCGGGGTGCTTGTGTGGCGCCCGCCCCTCCCCCGCCCTACACGGAATCATAGCTTTACTACGCCCCCTCTCCACGTCCCCGTGCACAGCGGGCGCGTGCGTGTGTGTGTGCGTGCTGGTCAGGTCTCGATTTTTACGCCAAGGTATTTTCTGTGTAATCAATACACTACTCTGTCAATTCAAATGTGTACATTGAACACTTTAAATAAAGTGTACATGGCATGTATGTTTTTTTGCAGGTCGAAGAAGATCGCATTTGTGAAGAAATTCCTTCGGAGGCCTAAGGCAATAGGCAGCCAAATCCTGACCAAATCCTTTACAATACGATCACATTCAAGGAAGAGTTCAACAGAAGACTCTTCATTCGAAGCAGCTACTAAATCTTGGATGGAAAATATGAGCATAACTACCATGTTGAACACTAATTCAAGAGTTCACCGTCGTTGTG